GATTTGAAGTAATTCTCTGCCTTTAAACCGTGCAGGTAACTTCAGCTTCACAGAGAGAATTACAGCAAAGTACGCTGGGGCTGCCGCAATGTATTTCGTCTCGAAAAAATTAAAGAAAAAATATAACATCACTGACGAACGTGGTGCGTTATACAAAGCTGCAGAAACATGGGTGGATGCTCTCAAGGGTCGAGATTTTCTAGGTTTGAAATCCTCGTTTCTTCTTGAGTATACATAATTACACCGAGATATTAGTAAAACCTATTACGAACAAAAGGCTAAATTTCTCGTTCACATACCCATTTTGGGCCAGGTGGGACAAAGCCCAACTTAGCTGACCTTGCTGTTTACGGTGTTTTGAGGCCCATTCGCTACCTCAAGTCCGGTCGAGACATGGTGGAGAACACCCATATTGGGAATTGGTATTCTCGAATGGAAAATGCTGTTGGGATATCTTCAAAAATCCAGGATTAGATCAAATTGTTCGGTAAAAATAATATAATTTGGCTGCCTTGATATATGTTGAAATCTTTGAAATATCCCGTGACAAATAATGTTGTCGTTTGCGCATTTTGCGACTAAGATAATTCTTGATATAGATAAGTTACAGTTCGTTTTCTTCTGGTCATACTTTCTAAGAATATGATTGTTTGAGTGACTTTATCCTTCTGCCTGCATTATCGTTCGGTCAAGGATGTGAAAGCTGTGACTTAGCTCGTGTGTGGATCTCTTTTTATGCAATTACTCAATACATGTTTTGATCATAAGATTTTGCAAGTAACAAGGTTGAAACTAACAGCATTATTTTCAGAATAATTTGTTCTTGTATGCACCGTACCAAAAAGGGATATATTGCGTAAGTACTCCATCTGTTTATTTTAATTGTGGTTTTAGGTTTGATGTTTTATTAGTACAAATGTACAATACCCGTATACTACAGAGTTATTAAATATATTAATACTATTACAATAAAAATTAAATTTACTTATATTTTTATTGTGAAATTATGTATGATGAATATGCAACAATAATAAATAAGTAACAAAATGATAATTAATTCAGATGGTGTCCATATTTTTACTAAATTGTCAAAAAATATATTTAATTATATTTTTAAAATTATATATGTATAAAATTGATATTATTTACAATTTCATATATTCGATTTGTTCTTTTTAAACAAAACAAATTCTATAGTATTGTGATTATAGTCTATATTTATAATCAATTCACGCTTACTAAATTTTCAAGTATTTTAAATTCATATAATTTAGAATTTAGAATTTACATAGAAATATATTATTTTCTAACTTTATGAAATACAAAATTATTTTATCATATTTAATTATGATATTCTTTATATTTACTATTTTAAGTAGCATAATAACATTCAGTTTTCATAATCTATTTAAATTGAGAAATACTATTTTATAATATTTCTTAAATTTATTTTATGTAATTCTTAGTTTTCATTTTTTTCTAACATTTATGGAAAAAACAATAAAATGATTATTTTATGGTGTATTAATGAATTAGGTTTTATTACTTTTTACAAAATAGTTTATATTTTTATATTGTTATGAAATAAAACATTTTTCGATAAATTTTCCACGTATGATCACTCTTATATTTATTAATACACTTCATTTTATAATATTACACCCTTTTATTTTTTAATTTACGCTAGTTCGTGCATCGCACAGTTTACATACTAGTATTACATCCTACAATAAAAATAATGCGGCTTAAATATAACTCTGTTCTAATTTATTTTACATANCCCAAAATAAGAAAAATAAATAAATAAAAATAAACACAAAAAAACAAATCAAAATGAATATAGAAAATAAAATAAAAATAATACGAAAATAACGAGTCCCCAGTGTATAATCTATATATATATAATTGCTAGCTAACCTCATTTAATAAAACATTTAATAAAAACATTTTCATTTTCCCTCCAAAAGAAGTTACATTTTTTTAATTAATTACTCATTAATCTCACATTTAAGAATGTTTCTTTTAGTTAAACTTAATTAGTTAATGACTAAATTAAAAAAATTTCTTTTAGTTAATCCCACATTTATGTTTCTTATTCTCATTTATATATATAAACGTGACAGTCATTATTGTTGTGCAGAAACTATATATTATTATTTTTTATTTCATTATGAATTGAATAAGCAATTAAAGTTATAAGAAATATTAATAAATGTATTAATTACAAACATTATAATACATATCATGTTACATTACAATATAAAAAATGAAATTATTTTTCTTGTAATTTAATTTCCAGCCATACTCAATCAAATATATAACTACAAAATGATAAGAAAGATTAGTTTCATAACTAAAATTAAAAATTTAGCTCCCCAAATGGTGAAACCTTATAAATTAGTAGTATAGATACATTTAAATGACATATAATTTATAAACTTAGACTATACGCATAATAAGATGAATTATGAATTAAATAAATAAATTATTATTATAACACAGTCTATATAATTATTATAGCAAAGTCTATATTGTCAATATTATCATTTAAAAAGTTCATTGAAAAAACATATGTATAAAAAAAATCCATATGATCATAATTAATAGTGCAAAATTAACATTCTTTGACTTTCTATTTGGTAGTAATAATAAAATATTTTATATTACTACTATTCAATAAAATGCATGATTTCTGCATATTTGATTATCGCAATCAACATTCTTTTTTTATAAATTAAAAAGTGTCTTGAATCAATTGTCTCATATTTTTCATTAAAACAAAATAACTGTTGGCCGTGAAAAAAAACATTATTTCACAATTATAAATATAAAAATGATTAATTTTCATTAAACAATTCCTCTTTAAGAAAAAAGTGGCGGGACAAATTTCTGCATGATTATAGCATCAAAACATATCTAAAACATCAATATTTTAATGCATTAAAAACATACTTTCAGCAACAGAAAAGTCATATTAAACGGAAATTGGCAAAGTCAAAGAATGAGAATTGACAAGGCATTGTATGTAATGGCAGATTGTTGCATAATATAGAAATATCAACCATAATTAATAATCAACAAAAAAAAGTCAAATCTATATGAAAAAATCAAAATTAAAAACACAGCAAATTATGTGGAACATTATTGAACACTATACAATATAGAAAGAAAAATAATTTGATTTCTCTATCATTATCAACATATTCAACTTTTACCAAGACATCTGCCTTTATATTAAAATCGATTTTTTTGCGTAAAAGTTTTAAAAATAAAAATTCCTACAGATTCTTTTAAACATTAAACAAGAAATTCCTAATATGCGATAAATATATCTAAACAGATTTGTTATAAACTTACCTAATATTTCCAAATTTTGAACAAAATACTAAAAAATTTGAAAAACTTCGGCAAAAGACTTTGAATAACTTCGAAAAGCGATTTTGAACAAGTGTTAGCAAAGCTTCACTTACTGATATGATGAGAAAGACGACAAAGAATTGAACTATTTAGTTTTCAAAATCTGAACAAAATACATAAAAGTTACATATGTATGTTATAAAAAGATATGAACAGATATGTTATAAACTTACATATATATTTGTTAGTAGAGCTGAACATATCTGTTAGAAACTTACATATTTTTTCAAACCCTGAACAAAATACATAAAAGTTTGAAAAAGTTCGACCAATGTCATGTTCTCTTCGAAAAACGATTTTGAAAAACATCTAAATAATTTCGAATTATGTATAAAATATAATATATCTTGAAGCTTATTCACAAAGAATTTCGGAAAACGACACAGATCATTGAAAATAATAAAAAATAAAAACTACGTTTAACAAAAAATATTTCAGCTCATCATAGATTTGTAATATTATCGCCCGATTTTGACCGACCTGTTAAGATTTAGCAACACAGATTAAGAAATCGAGACGAATATTTTATTTTTCGATCACTACTGTTGGTCCCAAAAACAACATTTCTCGGATGTCTTTTTTTTTTTAATTTTTTAAGCCTTTACCGGGAGAAAATCTCCGGTAAAACAGTTGTTTTGTATTGAATCTCGCCGAGTTTGTCGTAATATCGGGTTAAGGATTAGGGTTTCAGACAGAGTGAATAACGAGAGAAGCGCCGACATCAAAAAAAAAAAAACGGCTTACATCACTCTCAAGGAGTTTATCTCTATTTATAGTCATGTTATCACTGACCTGTTTTATATTTGATTTTGGCTACCCTAAAAAATTAAGTGGACTTCTAATTTGGGCTTTTTTTATCATTCAATCAATATATTTCTTTATGGCCCAAAAATTGTCATTTTGTTCAAATGTCTTAAATATTTGGCACATATCATTATTTATCAACCAAATATAATTATTTATTTTGTAATATTTTGCTGGTATTTTTTTAGTTTTTTTTTTTTAAATTTCCTATATGATCTATAGTACAAAATACAATAATTATTTAAACAATTAAAACCATTAGATGTCTTAATTTGAAGATATGATTTGTAGTGATGAAAATTATGTTGATAGAAAAACCACAAACGTTGTATATAAAAAATTGTTTAACAATATTTAGTTATTATTTCTTAAAACATTTTTTCAATGATTATATTATGATTTTTAATATTGTTTATATATTTTTATTATTTTTTGTTCTATTATATTGTTTTCCGTGCAAATGCACGGGTTTAAAAACTAGTATACGTGAATTTGTGAATTGCGATGTATCATTTGTGAAATATTTTCCCCTCAAAATCCCTAAAAAAACCTCAAAACCCTATTTCGAATCTCTCCACCTACTTTCCTCTAAGATGTCGTCATCCGCGGCCGAGAACGGAGGCAAGAAGATCGTCCTCCGTAGTTCCGACGGCGAGGTCTTCGAGGTGGACGAGTCGGTCGCCGTCGAGTCCCAGACGATCAAGCATATGATCGAGGACGAGTGCGCCGACAACGTCATCCCCCTCCCCAACGTCACCGGCAAGATCCTCTCTAAGGTCATCGAGTACTGCAAGCGCCACGTGGACGCCGCTGCGACCGCCAACGCCGCCAGGGCTGAGGACAAGCTCGCTTCCACCGCCAACACGGAGGACGATCTCAAAGCCTTCGATGTTGATTTCGTCAAAGTTGACCAGTCCATGCTGTTCGACCTTATTTTGGTATAATTTTTGGGGCTTCCCATATATTGTTAAAGCTATGTTAGGTTGTTTTATTGCATGAGTGATTTTTGAGCAGATTTAGTTGAGGATTGTACTTTAGGGTTTGCATATGGTGCTAACATAGATCAAATTGCTAACGTAACAAAATTACCATCAACAAAAACAGAAACGCAGTAACATAGACCATTATCACTGGATTAAGTTGAAAAAATAATTACCAAAACAAATTAACACTGATGTAGCTGGCTAATGGGAGTTAGTTTGTAGACAAGTATGGAAACAATGGAGCTCGGTTCATAGGTATACTAGAGGGAGCTCGGTTCATAAGTATACTAGAGGGAGCTCGGTGGTGAATGCATTGAGATAAGGCGACCTACCATGTAGGTCCGGTTGCCTCATGCTTGACCTGACAAGCAAGTAAGTAGCTCGGGGAGGAGGTCGGGGATAATGTACTTGGTTCCCCGACCTCTACTGTTAATTTGGATGTGTTGGTCATAATCTCTTACGTCTCTCGGTCATATACTTGGTTCCCATTAAATTTGGATAAGCTGAACCAGATCCACATTTTTAATCTCTTGAGTAAAGTTATATGGTGTAATTGTATTCTTTTTTACTCATTTGATGCCCGCATCTCTACTTGTTTGCTGCATTGTCCACTTTTTTGGCAGTGTTATCTGTCATAGTTTCTCTGATTACTGGCTCTGTTATATGCTCCTCTGTTGAATTTACAAGGATAATGTTTTTTGACTTCACATAGAGTGCACTGTTTTACATTTTGAAATTGTATGAGTTGCATTATTAAGTTTTCCTTTATTTGTTATTGTGTTGCCTTACAATGCTAGACATATGTTAGATAGGGAAATTGATTTTGACGTGAGCATTTGTTCTATTGATTCAGAAGTCATTGTAAGTATATATGAATTCATGAAAGCCAAGGTGATGCTCTGCTCTTTATTTTGTTCTTGCATCATTTTTCTTATCTTTGTCCCCATTCCATTACCCGTAAGAAGCTCTTTCATGCAGCATTTCAGGTCATTTGCATGTTTTATGATCTGTATTAATTGAAAAATGCTTGTGAGATGAGCCATCCACTGCCACACATCAACTTTTAAGGCACAAATCACGTAGCCTTATTAGTTCCACTGCTTCTGGTATTGTAATTACAAACTGGATTGTTTATATTGGTTACTCAAACCACGTTCTAGAGCATTATTATCATACATAACATGATGTCACGATCATTGTGCATGTACTACATGATATAGAGAACTATGTAATTAATAAAGGCTCTACACCATTCCATGAGGTACATGATATTAGGAGCTTGCTTATTTTCAATCTGTTGATGAGCTTGTGAAAATATCTAGCATATGTGATAGATACAGCAGAAAGTCTCATAGACATGTTTTTTTTTTCAGGCCGCTAATTATCTGAATATCAAGTCCCTTTTGGATCTGACGTGCCAGACTGTTGCTGATATGATCAAGGGCAAAACTCCAGAGGAGATTCGAAAGACGTTCAACATCAAAAACGACTTTACTCCAGAGGAGGAAGAGGAAGTCCGCAGGGAGAACCAGTGGGCTTTCGAGTGAACAATCATGAAAAGAGGGCATTAATAAGAATGCTGGTTCCAGATTATGTAAAACATGTCTATGAGACTTTCTGCTGTATCTATCGCACTTAACTATGCGCTTAACCTATGAACCTGTGGTTTTAAGTTTGGGAGTATGTTTAAATGATTTCTTCTAATGCAAAGACCCTGTTTGTGGATCATCTATGTTAATATTACTATGTTGCTTGTGTTCATCTTAGTATATGCATCCCTGTTGAGTATATCCATTATTCTTCCCTAGTTTACCTTTTTTCTCTTTTGTTAGTGTTATTCATCTTAGGGGCTTTGCCTCGCTTTCGGAATGTTATTCTGCATCTGTTACTTGAAGTTTGGTTGAAAATTATTATTCTTGCTTGGATAATTGATGTGATGTATCAGGAACTTCCTTGGTAGATTACCGAGGCTGAGAAGACTCTGTTACGTGTGATTGGCATATTGCTCATGATTATAGCATATGCCTAGATTCAATTAGTTGAACTTTCGTCCTTTGGATGAATGGGATTGAATTATTATGTAAAAAAGATTATTGAGAAGCCTGAAAAGGGGTGTATAAATATTAGAATAAAGGAGAAATTGTAATATAAGATGCAATCTTTTCTATTTATGCCACTTAGATTGTCATTTTTCAGATTTTAAAGTTAAATACATGAAGGGCTGATTGGATATGAATTCAACTAGTAAAAAATTAGTTTTTTTTAACTATAGTTAAATTTGAAAAAAGGTGGTATGGTTAGTTGTTAGTGGATATATTAAAATAATATTTAAAATAAAATAATTAAAATTGATTTGATGTAAAAGTATGAGAAAATGATTGGAAGTGATATTTGGTTAAAATTATGTAAGTAGATAAATAGTGAATTAAAGTTGATGTGATGTGTAAGAATGATTGATAGATATTATTTAATTATATTGATAATATTAGAGATAGTGAAGTTGAGCTAAAGTTGAGTTAAATTTGAGTTTTGATTGGTTTTTTTACTATACAATTTATATACAATTGCCCTTTTTTTTACATTTTATAAATTAAATCCCAATGGAAATTTTTGACTTCTCGTGTTTTTGCAACTTAATCGTTTATTTTTTTTTAACTTTTGCAATTAAATGCACCAATTTTTTAGATTTTACAAATCAAATCACAACTAATTATTGAAATAGTTGAAGTGTATTATTATTATTATTATTATTATTTTTTTTTAAGTTGGCAAATCCACATCAATCAAATCCATAAAACATGCATGCTTACCTATGTACTCCTTGATTTTTGTATTTAAAGATGAACCGCAAGTATAATATTTGCTTGACTTGCTCTTCGTTTTTAAGAATTTGGAACAAATTATGAAGAGAAAAATAGGTATGGTGTATGATATATAGAGCATCTCCAATCCTCTATATACTACTTTAGTGTAGAGTTACTCTACTCTAGAATATAGAATACCAAAATTTAACTTTCGTCTTTTGTCTTATTCGCTACATTTTACTCTACACGAAATATATTAATATAAAATAAAATTTAAATACCGTCAGGAGGTAAAATTGCTACTTATTCATCACAGTTTACTAAAATCAATAAAATCCAACACAACCCCCAAATCTTGAAGATAAAAGTGCTCATAACATCCACATTAATAGTACGATTGCTCAACCAGCATACTTAGCCTATTTGAGAAAACAAAACAAAGCATCTCATCCATACTAGCATTCACTAAGCGATATTCTACGAAGCAAAAACAAAGATATCACGACTAATTTTAGACCGTCTCATCATCCAAGTCCACAGACAAAACCTCTACATTTCCCTTACGTTACATCCGGCCATCAAACCCAATCTCTCACAGGCCACAAGTATTCACAAGATTCATTTCAAGCAAACCGTACGCCAAAACGTNNTCGAATCCAACAGGGTCAAATCGGTAATTCACTCATTAAGTGCCTTCTTGGCGGCATCTTCCTCCGCCTTCATCTTCCTCTCCCACCTCCTCTTCCGGTAGTCCGCCAGCATCTCCGGCATTGCCTGCATGAGCTCTGCCGTACGTTCCTTCTTCTCGGCAGCCAGCCTATCGACTTTGTGCCCTTTCCTCTTCGTCTTCATCTCCTTTCTCTCGGGGTCAAATTCCCAATCTGCCCCTGCAAGGAGGACCTCCTTACGGAGGCGGGCCCTACGTCTTGCGCTGATGCCGAGAGGCTTCCAGGCCCCGAGCTCCCAGTAGCCCCAAACGCCTTTCGAAAGCTCGTCCCTATACTTGGAAAGCTTCTCTTTCCATGGATACTGGTATTCGCTTACGGCTTTCGCCACCGATTTTGCTGCTTTTCCAGCCATGGGCTGAAATTGGCCAAAAAAAGAAAAAAAAACGTTTGTGACTTTATACCAAATTTTACACACAGAACATGTGGGATTCTGAAAATAGTGAAGGGGAGAAAGTAAAATACGAGCCCTTCAGATTATTTACGTTTTATGTCCCCTTTCAGGAATTTTGACAAGCAGCTTGTGTGCATAAACTCGCAGCTTGCAACGCATTTGACTACAACGCAGTTTGGATAATAATATGAAATTTTTCTACATAAGCAAATGTGCAATCTAACTGAATAAATACACTAAATTGGGAAGATTGACAGAAAGGCGTTACCTTTGTTGGTGGAGTGTGAAAATCGCGGGGATTCTTGTGGGGAAGATGGAGATTGAGCCTTGGGCTTATGTGAAAGAGAGAGATATTTCACCAAACGACGAGTATGATTCCGATTGGTCCGCCTCAGTTAAGAGTTGCCACGTGCCCCAGTTCCTTTGACATCACTTTCAGTTTATGAGAAAATAAGTACTGAATATGTTTGGTCATAAATAACATGATGCCAGTAACAACCGCACTATCTGTATATATATATATCTATGAGTAGGGTTTTTACATCCAACTAATAAACTAAGGACAAATATGTAAATATATGTATTGTACATGAACACCCTCTCAAGTTGGAGCATGTGGATTCCGAATGCCCAATTTGTCAAGAAAAAAATCAAACTCGCGCTTCCCAAGGGCCTTGGTAAAAATATTTGCTAACTGACCACCAGTAGGAACATGACAGGTAGAGATGAGACCTTGGTGAAGTGCATCTCGAACAAAGTGACAATCGACCTCAATGTGTTTGGTGCGCTCATGAAAGACAGGATTCGCTGCGATATGTAGAGCAGACTGACTATCACAAAAGAGCTGTATAGGCTGGGAATGCGACACCACCAAAACTAGATAATAAACCCCGCAACCACTCAACTCACAGAGAGTGGTTGCCATAGCACGGTATTCGGCTTCAGCAGAGGAGCGCGCTACGGTATGCTGTTTCTTGGAACGCCAAGAAATAGGAGATTGACCCAACTGAATAAACCACCCAGTAAGAGAGCGACGAGTGAGAGGACAAGTCGCCCAATCTGAGTCACTGAAGATCACAATCAGAACGTAGAACGATACCCTGACCAGGGGAACCCTTCAAATAACGAACCACACGAAGGGCAGCATCCCAATGAGTCAGGCGTGGCTGATGCATGAACTGAGCTAGCATATGAACAGAATATGACAACTCTGGTCTAGTAACGGCCAAATAAATCAGACGACCTACCAAACGACGATACTTCTCAGGATCCTCCAATAATGAATCATCATCAAGAGGCAACCGATGATTCTGTTCCAGAGGAATAGCAGCTGGCTTCCCTCCTGACAAGCCAACTTCAGAAACAATATCAAGGGCATATTTTCGCTGATAAAGAAAAATTTCGGGCAACTTCAATGCTTAAAAAATACTTCAGAAAGCCCAAATCCTTCATGTGAAAGCATCGACTCAAATAGCTCTTAAAAGCAACAATAGACGAAGAGTCACTCCCAGAGATAATCAAATCATCCACATACACCAAAACATTTAAATAAACAGAACCACGATGAAGAGTGAACAAAGAATAATCATGGTAGGATTGAGAAAAACCGTACTGTGTCAAGGCAGTAGCAAGCTTGGCGAACCAGCACCGAGGAGCTTGCTTCAACCCATAAAGAGAACGACGCAGAAGACATACCTGATCAGCCACACCAGTCCGGAAGCCAGGGGGAGGCTTCATGTACACCTCTTCATCCAAGTCACCGTGAAGAAAAGCATTGTGGACATCCATCTGATGTACCTCCCAATTTTTTACAGCGGCGACAGCCAGAAACAATCGCACTGTAACCATCTTAACTACAGGAGCGAAGGTCTCATGATAATCAATGCCAGACACCTGATTGTTTCCCAGAATAACAAGACGCGCTTTAAAACGCTCAACAGAACCATCAGACCTGTGCTTGATTTTATACACCCAATTACAACCTATTGCACGTTTTCCAGGAAGAAGAGAAACAACTTCCCACGTGTCATTATTCTCCAATGCCCGAATCTCATCCTGCATGGCTACCCTCCACCGAGGATCAGCAGCAGCCTCAGCATATGTTCTAGGCTCCACTGCGGTAGCAAGGGCTGCTAAAAAAGACTGATGGCTCGCTGAAAATGAATCGCAAGAAACATAATGGGTAATGGGATAAGGTGTACCTGGAGATTGCGATGACACGAAAGAGGCAGTGGAGGGTTTCGAGGGACAGACAGTGTCAATGACGAAGTTCTTAAGCCTAGTAGATGGTCGTTTGGTGCGATGACCACGACCCAATGTCGTGACAGGAGAAGAGCCTCCCGTGTTGTCGGAACCACTAGAAATCACAGGGTCTGAGGACTCTGCCTCAGGAACCAAAACAGCCGGCGGCAAATAGGGGGATGAAGGCCGAAGAACAGTGTCATAATCGTCGGACGGAAAAGGATCAACAGGAACCGTGGGTGTAGAAGAAGCAACAGGAATATCACCCAATGGAAACTCAGATTCAATGAACTCCACATCATGAGAAACGAGAAAACCTTGACGTTCCAGATCATATACATGCCAACCCTTCTTCCCAAAGGGATATCCCACAAAAATGCACTTGCGATTGCGACTAGCAAACTTATCCCCTCGACGGTCTTGGTTATGTACATAGCAAAGACAACCGAATACACGTAAAAGAGAATAATCTGGAAGTTTGCCATATAAGACCTCATAAGGAGTTTTACCCTCGAGAATCGCAGTCAGAGTCCGATTAATCAAAAACCCGGCCGCTAAAATACAATGACCCCAAAAAGGCAAAGGCAAATGAACTTGAAACCTCAAAGCACGAGCAACATTTAAAATATGTTGGTGCTTACGTTCCACACGACCATTTTGTTGAGGAGTGCCCACACAAGAAGTCTCATGTATAATGCCTTGACGAATGAAATAGGAAGTCATGCATAAAAATTCAGTACCATTATCGCTTCTAACCGTGCGCACTAACTTGCCAAATTGACGATGCACCATAGCAAAAAATTGCAACAACTTGGAAGAAACCTCAGACTTATCATTAAGTAAATAAATCCATGTCCCTCGTGAACAATCATCAACAATAGTTAAGAAATAACGTGCCCCACTGAAGGAAGGAACACGATAAGGACCCCAAACATCACAATGAATTAACTAAAATATCTCAATACTAGCAGAACGACTAATAGAAAAACTATTACGACACTGTTTAGCACAGAAACAAACATCACATGTTTTATTCAACTGACTAGAACTAATATCAACTAGCGAAAGCTGGGATAATACGCCAGATGAAGGATGACCCAAACGCCGATGCCACAAATCAGAAGAAACCTTCTTCACCCGAGAGGCCGCAACAGACACTGTCTCTCGAAAGAAGTAGAGGCCCCTCAACTGCTCTCCCGTGCCAATCACCATCCTCGAAGTACGAGCCTGAATAGCACAAAATTTATTATCAAAATGTGTTGTACAATCCGATTGATCCAACAACTGATAAAGGGATATGAGACTGCAACGGAGGCTAGGAACAAACAATACATCACGAAGAACAATATGAGAACCCAAAGATACAGTGCCAGCCTGACAAGCCATAGTCAAAGTCCCACTCGGCAATTGAACCGGACGAGGGGAAATATCATGGACATTAGTCAAAAAATCCATGTAACCTGTCATATGATGCGTAGCACCACAATCATACATCCAATCATATAAACTATGCTTACCAGACACCGAAGGTTCTTGTTTAGCCGAATTGACTAAACTCACAATATGGGACCATTGATCATTGGAAAGACCAGTGATAACCGCCCGATCGGAAGCCGAGAGCTGAGGGCCGGAGCCAAAGTCAGGGGATAAAGTTGAACCGGCAGCATTGACACGAGCGGTACCACCACGACCACGGCCACCTCCGCTTCGACGCCCACGACCAGCCCCTCCACGACCTCCACGACTAGACCCAGGGGGAGAATACCAGTCCGGATAACCGATAATATCGAAACATGTTGTCACTATGTGACCGCTCTTGCCATAGTGAGAACAAACCGGTCGGTCGTTGGAAGATCGTTGTCCAGCACTAGCGGCAGCAGCCCGCCCGGTGTCGCCTCCATAGCCCCATGAACGCCACCTGCAGTAGCCCCAGTCGCGACCCCTAAAGTGCTGGAAAAATTTCCCAGCGACACAGCCTTCGCTGCAGCAAAGGATGGGCCGGCAACAGTGGTCTGGACAGTGAAACTGGAGTCCATAACAGGCTGAATATCGCCGCCAATCGCCATCGTCCGCATGCGCTCCTCTTGCACCATCGTCGAAAAAACACGGTTCAAAGACAGCAAAGGTTTTTGTGCGAGAATATGAGAACGAGGAACACCATAAAGGACGTGATCAAGACCCTTTAAAAATTGATGGACACGTTCCTCCTGTTGACGTCGATCCCATTCAACATTCAAATTACACCGACAATGGCCACAACGACACATAGGAGGCTTTTCAAACTCGGCCAATTCCTCCCATATCTTGCTGATTTTGCCGAAATAACTCTCGATGGACAACCCCGTTTGCTTACAATTGGCCAAATCGGACTTGAGTTGTTGAATACGGGGGCCATTCTTTGTAGTGAATCGCTCCTTCAATGACAGCCATAAGTCTTCGACGAGATTCGGCTCCGTGATAGTAGATCGAACTCGAGGCTCAATCGAGTTCATGATCCATGAACGAAGGAGGCAATTGTTGGCATCCCAATCTTCAAATAACTCCGAATCTTCATCCGGACGAGGTATCAATCCGTTCAAAAAGCCAAATTTCTTGCGCGCATGAAGGGCTGTCCGCAAGCTTCTCGACCATTCATCATAATTACTGGCGCCGTTCAATTGAACCGGAGTGATCGAGATTCCCGGATTATCACTCGCACTAATATCGTATGGAGAGATCGTCTTCCGAAGCACACCGCTACTGCTACCGTTGGCAGCCATGGAAGAAGAAGATAAAAATAAAAAAATGAGTTACGGATCAATGGCTCTCGATACCATGAGAAAATAGGGACTGAATATGTTTGGTCATCAAAAACATGATGCCAGTAGCAGCCGCACTATCTGTATATATATATCTAGGAGTAGGGTTTTTACATTCAACTAATAAACTAAGGACAAATATGTAAATACATGTAATGTACATTAACAGTTTCAGTTAATCTCTTTTTAAATTTTTCAACGGAAATAGCAAATATACATGCATATGTACTTGTCAATTTCACAAGTTCACTTCGTTCCAGTGTATACAGTACAGAACAACTCTAAAAGTTAAAAAAAAGAAAAAAAAATTCATATAGCTGGATGAAAAAGTGAAAAAGATCTGATAAAAAAGGAAATGATAGTAATATTTTAAATAAATATTAATTAAAAAGTAATGAGAAAGGTAATGCAATATAAAATAATATATTAATGATAATAATTAATTTTAGATATATTAGTGGATTAATAATACTGCTTCTTTTTTTTTTAATGTCATTTTGACTTTATCAACAATTAACCAAATAAATGACGTTTTGGATCTTTTGTACATATTTTTTCATTATTACTCTCATCTAGCAATATAAATACACTACATCTTTTCATATTCACTCTTCATCTTTTCTCAAACATCCATCTCTATCCTCATTAATATTAATGAGGGTTATTATTGGCAAAAAAAAATTCTTAATTACTGTGCAACTTCTCGAAACGACACTTATTAAAAAAAGGAGGGAGTATCTTATTTATTGAAAATGTATTATAACGTGATCTATTTGGAATTATGTTACACGGAATTTAGGAGAAAAATATGAGCTTAAATAAATAGTTAAGAGCATGTACAATGCTTTGAGTCCAGTTTTGCTTATATGGCATTTAAATATATTTTAGTCTTGAATGACATGGACAAAAATATTGAAAAGTAATGAAATTAACTCCAATGCAAAGAGACTTAGTCTCTACTTGAGTCTAAAATAGAGTCAAGTGTAGACTGAGTCTCATTTTTTTACTGCCACAAAAGCAGGTCCCAGTTTAATTGCATTTGCATTGGAATAAATATTTTTTTAGCCTGGAATTATTTCCTACTATCTGTATACTTTTTTTAAAGAATTCATAGCATTGCGAATGGTCCAACTATATTTGTATCCAATCTCAAGTCTCAACTTTAATTAAATAAGTTGTCCGAAAACTATTTTCGAAAAGACCATACCATTGAGACAAATGACAAATCACAAATTCCAAGCAAATCAGATGTGTGCGAACGTTGGGTAATGTCAATTGTCAACATTTGAGACAGAAAATGTTACATAGGAAACGCCTGAATTGTGCAGACTGGAACAAACTGAAGCACGTGTGACTCAGAATACCATGAGATAGTTATAGAGTTTTAGAAACAGTCATAATTTAAAATTAAAAAACAAAAATCTTATTNTTTATAATTTATATTCAAATAATATATAAAATAAAATAATTAAATTAATTTGATTATAAAATATGAGAGAGATGGTAGGAGTAAATTCATAATAAATTAAAATTGATGTGATGTGTAAGAGTAATTAGTACTATTTAATTAAATTGATATGATAATATTAAAGATAGTTTGGTTTGATTAAAGTTGAATTAGATTATGAGTAGGAATTGAAATAATTTATGCACAAACACCCTAAGTCACTGAAAATCATCCCTCAGAAGATAAAGGGACTTGTTCTTCCACTGGCCATATTATCTTTGCTCAAAATCCTTCTGTCTAAAAACTAAATAAATATCTAAAATGGGTTCATATAGCAGCATATTTATAAACTTCAATTCAATAATGTGGTTATTTACATAACCTATAAGAAACACACACAACCTAAATCAAAGAAAATCAAACCAAGCAATTCAAGCAAGCACACGTGCTCAACCTAAACAATAATCAACCGATGACCATTCAAACAGAACTGTACTCATATACTCATGCAAATACAATCAATTTAAGCACCCACACCAGAATTGAAAAGAATGCAGACCATCTTCTCAAGAAGTTCTATGATTAGACTTCAGATGCTTCTTATCATAGTAAGCAAATCAAGATAGAGAAAAAAATGGTAAAAAAGGAGTTCCGCGTTCAAAAATGATCTGTCACCACCATATCACATTATCATCCAACAGGTAATAGGCAATCAAAGTTTAACCAAAAATCATGCATGGGGCTCGCTCTCATGTTTGGCCACAAGATAAGACTTCAAAGTAATTCAATTTTCACAATGCCCACAAGACAAAGGAAAAGTTCACCTTAAAAAACGTTTCTTCCTTGGACGCCTCCAAGAATAAGTACTTAATCATTAAAGTACAAAAAAACCACCACCCATGTAGCAACTTTAGATGACCAGCTCATCTGAGATTTTAGATAATCTCAGTTCTGCTATTTTTCTAAGGTTTCTTCTTGTGTCCAATAAGTGAATAATACCTTTCTTTAATCTTTACTCTCCTTAAGCTGCATTGAGAAAACACTGGTGGGGTAAGTACAGGAACTTTCATGTTGAACAACGCAATCACAAGTAGTAAATTCTGAGTAAATATAATAGGGATACTTACGAGAACTACCCTTAAGATTTTGAATTTGTTGATAGTATTAAATATTTTACAATTTCATCCCTGACTATACAAAATATTTAATTCACCTTAAATGTAAAATATTGCTTGAAAATTTGGCCATTTGAAGCACTTTGAACATCTAAGGGATTCAAATGTAAAGAATATTTTACTACCTCAGCATTTTACCAGCCAGCCCAATTATTGGCAGGTACAAAATGTAAGAGGGCCAACCTCAAGTGAATTTGTCAACTTTCCAAATTTAGAAGCATGCTTATGTAATTATTCCATAATAATGAAACTATCCAAATTGGACTTCTATTATTCCATGTTTGTTAAGCTCACACCCACACACACTAGAGAAATTTAGAGCATGTTGGTTATAAAATTTATTTATTTTGTTGGGATTTTTTGGTTTGGTTTGGTTTGGCCAATTTTGAAAAAGGTGGTATGATTAGTTGTTAATGGCTATATTAAAATAATATTTAAAATAAAATAAATAAAATTGATTTGATGTAAAGGAGATAGATGATTTGAAATGATGGTTAGTTAAAATAATGTGAGTGGATGAATAGTGAATTAGAGTTGATGTGGTGTGTATGAATGATTGATTGATATTATTTAATTATATTGATAATATTGATGATAGTAGGATTGAGTTAAATTTGAATTAAAAAATGGTTGAGTTAAAATGTTGGAAATTTTTTGAAAAATTCTATAAACAAACATGCTCTTACGTGTTCAGGATACATCCAAGGCAACTGAACCCACCTCAATCGTGCAAAATTTTTCTTCACAGAAGTAAAACGTCATACAGCATCAGAACGACTTTCGCCACCATCTTTCTCCCCATTGGCCAAACTCGTCTGGCCAGTAAACTCATTCAGTTGACCTCCCCTTGCTGCATCCGTGCTGCCATCTGCATTAGTCGGGGCATCATCCAGTGTGGTCGCCTGTAAGGAGGACACCAGTGCACTCTCAGGTGCCGAACTTGAGGCATTAGTTCCGGAGTCCAAATTGCGCCTACCGGATGTGTTCACCCACTTACTCCACTCATTACGTCTCCTCACCTTCTCACCCTGCAAAGCAAGGAGAAGAAAAAGAGGGATGCAAATTTAAATTATGGATTGTTTTAACTGGCGATGATTACGGATAAGCAGCATTATATCCAGGAAATACTAGGAGAAGATGTTGCAGAAAATAGAATATCCTCAATTAGGTATTTTGGATAGCCAAAAATTAAAATTGGATGAAGATAATGCAAATATCAAGTAGAGTGCAGAAATAAAAGCTGACCTGTACTTCCACAACCGTAGAATATCTCAAGGAGTCCAAAATCACTGGGACATCTTTCGTCATTTGCTGAACCTGAAAACAGCAGTTAAAAAAGCAAACCTTGATCTGTGCATTGGACAATGGCCGTACATATATGACTAATGAATACAAATCAATGAACGGTTGAGTAAGCATAATTCACAAAATCATGGTAAGACTTGAAGTATTAACTCGCCTAATAAATAACCCCACGATATCAAAAAGATTATGTCAATGCCTTATTACCATAATCTAACATATCCAACTGAATCGATCAAATTAAATCTGTAAGGATTTCAATTACTCATTTTGATCATTTGATATAACAAAACATTAAGAGAAAAAAAGGTTGAACAGCGATAATTAAATCTAGATAAAGAGGAAGAAACATCTTCCAATCATATGTCACAAAAAGTTTTTTTGACAGCTAGGTACATTGACCATGCTATAATGAGATAGAACCTAGAAGTCACTCAAAAAAGCACAAGTCAGTGCCAAAAAAAACTCTACCTAGGTCACAGAAATATGGAAGGTTCATCTTATACAGACCTTCCCAGAATTTTTCCATATTTATATTTCAAAAAAAATGAGCACATCTGAGGCATGCAACAAATACCGGAAATGGGTAAATATCTACTGTGTGCTTCTTTATGGCATATAAATGTAATCATGATCGGCATTCATAGTCCCATTCCCCTATTACCAAGCTGCCCCACAACTCATTCATTCCCCTATTACCAAGCTGCCCCACAACTCATTCACACAGCATGACAGCAATTTCAGGCCAATGTTCATGCTTAGCATATAACTATCAGTTATAACCAGTCCAACTTCAAAATTAGGAACCCACAGCTGGATCATCAAATAAACAACATAACAAATCTTTATTCTGGTAGACATATACAATAACCATTATGTTAAGAAATCCACTTATCTGTGACAATAGAGAATTAGATGTAATAGTATATATAACAGATAAGTGCATAATTCGAAGGATCTTACTCGACGGAAGGAGGCAATCAAAGCAATGGGCACCCAGCCCTGATCATCCATGTTGGACCTCAAATAATTATCTTTGACCAAATTATCATCACTGAGATAAACACTTGCTAGCTTCAGCACAAGCTATCTTGCATTAAAAAAACTAAAAAATAATAGACAGGCGTGCCTTCACCTGAAGTAAAAGTCTATTTGCTTAACAATCATATTCGCTAGAGACGTCTCATTAGTAGGAGAGAAAAGCATAGGCGGAGGGGAAGGAACAAGCGGCATAGCCCTGAAAGACTCCTGAGCCATTGTCGGGACATAGATAAAAGGAGACGCCATATCTGCAAAAATCCAGAAACACAAGTTAAAAAAAATAAAAAAATCCCAAAACAGTCATCAAAATCTAAATGAAAATAACAAATCTAACAACTCACCGAATCCCATCTGTCCAGCAAAAACTCTCACGGGTGGGGGCGCCAGAAAAGGAGCGGCCCCAGGTGGCAGAGGAGACGGCATGTACCCCATGGGAGGTGGTACGTACTGCGGGGGATGATGAACCTCTCGACGGTCATGATCCCGCCTGCCTCCATGGTTATTGTGGTAATGCCCATCTCCCCGTGGGCGGGACCCATAATTACCCCTTCTGGAGTTATTATTCCTCTGATTAGAGTAGCTGTTGCCTGCGTGTGACTGAGAACCACCAACTGCTCTTGGGCCTCTAACTGAAGCATCCATAACAGCAGGAACCATCCCATAAGGTACTTCGAAAACGGGAAAAGGTGGTGGCATAGGTAAAGATGGCTGATTGAAAGCAGGCTGAGGTTGGCTACTCACTGAGGAGTTCCCGCCACCACCACCGCCATTGCGATTTCTCGACCTCTGCCTGGTCTGTGGGTGGTTTGCAGAAGAATTACCATGGGCATTATTATTGACTGGTTGCTGAGGAGGTGGAGATGTGATAGTAGCCTAAATTCAAAGGAAAACAGACAAATTATCATGACCTACACCCAAAAGTGCAAATATTTACAACTTAAAAGAGATTAATCACTTCAACAACAGCAGACAAAATTAGATTACAGGGATTTAGTATCCCTGGAAGAACAAATCACAGGAAAATATGCAAACCCACCCTAGCCAATAAATCATATAAAACATTAGATCAGATATATTCTAGGCATATCTTGACCTGTGTTGAAGAGGATAACCCATCGGAAATAGGCCTAGGGCTATCAGATGATGATCTAGGAATGGGCCGGGTTGTTTCAGAAAGGGCAGGCCAGGAAACAGCTCCACCCATAACAGAAACGGGCTCAACGACGCCGTTAACAGGCCTGTTCCAAGCAGGCCTCCTCTGTTGACCAGCATTGATGTCGCCGTTAGCATCAGGGGTCTCGGGCTGGGCTTCCGAGCCCGAACTCTCAACCACAGGGTTTTCCGGAGACTGCTCCGCCAGCGGAGGAGACGAAGAAGACCCAGGATCCCCGGCGGCGGTTGGAGACGAGTTCTGCTCGGAATCTCCGCGGACGACGGAGGCCCAAGCAGAGGTAAGGCTCCGCCGTTGCGACTGGGGACTGCTTACACCACCGCCATTGGATGCGGCGGCGTCGGCTGTAGGCCGCGAGACATCGTTCATCTTTCTAAAGAGAAGAACAAAAAAATCTACACCAAATTTAAAAGGGGAAATTAAATTATTCAGGCAGTGAGAAAATCTATGCACAAAAAAGCGAAATTGTTTGATTAGTTGATGAAAAAAACAACATATGAAGGAATTAATTGAGAAAAATAGAGAAGGTAAAAAAGAGGCGAATGTTTGGCGGTGATCGGAGAATTTGTTTTAGGGTTTCAGCCGTCGGAGTTTTATTTCTCTCTCTAATATAAAGTGATGTGTATATTGTACAACGTTCATTGTGAAAATTGATACACAAAATAAATAAAAAGAAAAACAAAAAAGACTGACCATCTCCTGTACAAACTTGGTTTCATCGTAATCCCAATTTTAGCCCTGTTCTTATATTGGTTTGGTTTGGTGGCGTAAAACAAAGGTTATATTCCTGGACTTTTCATTGCATGACCCATCCATTTAAAATAATTGGTTTCATCGTAATCCCAATTTTAGCCCATAAGAAACTACAATAATTTTCTATTGTCATCCATTTTTAACACTTGCTGAGACACACCAAGTTACATGTAGGCAAAAGTATCAATCTAGAATAATCGTTCTAAAGTCATTTTAGTTTAGTAAAATAATTTGATACTGAGTTGTTCTCCTGTCTGATGTTTGAGATTTCATTTTTCAGTTGATATAGCAACGGATTGCTGCATTCCACAATCTCTGTTCGATTTCTTTCCAAAGCACTTGTGCAGATTTAACGCACAAGAAGGCACGCACTATATCCTTATTGAGTGAGTTGAGTATCCAGTTGTAGACCGTGTAATCGACCTTCTTCAATTGTTCGAACTCTGTTGCATCTGGATCTGGTCTCCTCACTCGTCCATCCACAAAATCGTGCTTCGTCTTTGCACCAAGCGCAATCGTCACAGCTCTCCGCTATGATTGGTAGTTCAAACCAGTCAAGAGAGTCGAGAATAAAGTCATTCCAAGATGATCGGAACTATGCAATAAGAAAGGATTATCACAGCTCTCCATTGTTGTTGTTCATGTTGCGACCTCTTGTCACAACTGTGTTCCAAGCTATATTTTGTGCCATTTCTAATTAGTTTTCTTGCTTTAATACCATGTTCAATGGTAAAGCAAAGCAACAAAGGGGAAGAAGAACACAAGTGGAGATGAAGACTCGATTTTCATTATGTGGGAAAATGCCCTTAGACACTATGAACTACTGATAGAAATGAAAGTACTAATATCCCCTTAGACACTATGAACTAATATATAACTTGGTTAATCCAAATTGTAACAATGGATAGTCGAATTACAGAAAATATGTTTGTCTTGAAGAAACATACGCTTTAATATGAGCAACGATTACTATGTATTTTCTCTTGCTAAGTGAAAACTGCACCATCTACACACTCATCTCGATTAGACGCTCAATCGTCAAGAATCTTATTCTCTAAGATGTGAGATATAAAAGAAAATTATATAAAAGGATTTTTTTTTTTTTTTTTTTTTTTTTTTTTTTTTTTTTTTTTATTTATGTCACCACCAATGCACTTATTATAGTGCTCATAAGATAACATGACATTTCATTGTGAGTTTATTAAATGATATTCATGATGTAAGTTTACATTAACATAACTCAACGTAAAAGTTGATAGAACAAGCCTTAAAATGAATATTTGTAAAACAAAAATGTAATTCAGAAATGCATTCAAGAAGTTCAATTAAAGTTTTGTAAAGTGAAAACAAAATGAATTTTACTATTCACATAACTCATATTCTTTTATCTAAGGATTCACATAAAGTATATTTTCTCTTTTTACATGTAACACTTATTACAACAAAAGCCGCCATAAATTTCTTGAAACATTAATAGAAACCAAATGTCATCTTATAGTTGTCTGCAAATAATATACAAAGCATAGATATGTTTCTCTCATCTGCTTTCTTGAGAAGAAGACCACACGACATTGACAAATAATGCAAGTTTAGCTATTATTAGACAACTCCAATTATTACAGCAACACACAACATAAGGAGACCGCTTATTCTTCCCCTTCCCACTCAACCTTATCTGACAAGAGTGTTTTTGCACAACAGTCTTTGTGGATCCGAAAATAACACTTGGGGCACTCGAAAGCAATGTCGTCGTTGTGTTCCTTTATGGTCTTCCCACAATGGCCACACATGTAGCAATACACTGAAAGCGCGCGTACACAAGCGACGGGGCATGGATGGCCTTGTACACGGACAGTAAACCCAAACTTGATTTTGGAGAGTCGATCGACAGATGGGATGCAATTAAAGTGCAATGACTGTTGACATTTGTGGCAACGGTAGTGCCACTCCCCACTTTGTATGCTATTTTCACAGACCTCGCAAAGTATTGATTGTTCCTTTTCGAGAAAACACCAATGGTAAAGAGGGTGGGGGTCGAATTTACGGTAGCGTACTTGGTTCGGAATTAGGGCGCAAGCTGGATGTATCCCAAAATTGCGGCAGTTGTTGCATACGTAGCTAGTGTCGGGTTTTAATTCCAAGCCACAGTAGCTACACGGTTGTTGGTTGTAAGTTTTCGATTGGAGGATATGGTACTCACCGTGGGACCGGTGCATGATTGAGGTGGGCATGAGGGCGCACACGATGTCCAGAACAAGAGAAGTGTCGTCGTCCGCCTGTGATAAGTAGGCGAATCCGTTACACGTGTAGTTGCAACCGTCACATTTGAACAAATTGAAGGGAGTCTTTTCGCCGCCTGCCTTGCAAGTTAAGAGAGTGAGTGTTTTTTGTCTCTTTCGAGGGAAGTTAAGTATGGCAGGAAGATACGCGCAACAACTGTGGAGGAAGTAATCTTTGCATGGACCATCATTTCTTGATGAGGTTTCATTATGATCAACACAACTATAAAATGAATCGGATGGAGAAATGGGTTGAACACAAGCGTTGCATACACGCTCGACACCACTTTGGTAATCATCATGAAGGATCAAAACATGCTTGTCTAATACTCTCTTATGATCATAAGTAGCAAGATCGGTAGTAAGCCCGCCCCTATCACTGTCGATACTTGTACTAGCAACACGATCGACATTTTTAATGTCGAGGGCCTTCACTAAAAGTGGCGTCACGCTCACGCAGTCATCTTTCATTATTGGCAGGCGAATCGAGTCGGGAATGACCCCTTCATAATAGACAAGCACTGCATATTTATATATATCTTGTTAATAACCATATTAAATTAATATTTCTCAAGGAGTAGCTGGTATTGACCCACAAGTCATGCTACACTACTACTACTAGAGTGGTTTACAGATGACAATCATCTACTACTCTTCTCATTATAATATTACCAAAATCAACCAGCACATGGTTTGGTGAACACGATAGTAAATAAATCTGACAAAGTAGATTAATATTCTCGACTGAGACAACAAGAGCAACAACAAAAACAATAACATTAATAATGATCTGATTTCCGTACCTCTCATGAGTCCATTGGGACTCTTAGCCTTGAAGCACTTGACATGAGCATAGTAATCACAACGGAAACAAGTATAAAACCCAAAACCTTTGAAATCCACCTTCTTCTCTTCTTCCTCCTCCTTCTTAACGCCGCTGCAAATGCTGCATTGAAACTTATCCCGTTCGGACCATCCCTTTACATAAAATAACAGAAGGGGATGCCCGTGAAGCGCCCCGCCGCTGACGGCATTGGGCAGCTTGGCACAGTCGGGATGAAGCCAAAAGTCGCAGTCGACGCACACATAGAACTGGTCCAACAACCCCACCGCGCGGCCGCCGTGCTGGGACCCGCACGCACTGCACCAGTTGGAGGAGAAGGAACCTCTCACGGCAGTCAACTTGTGCTCGTGGCTCCTGTGCATCACCTTGACCGAGACGGCGCACACCGGGTCCAGCGTGAACCCACAGCCGTTGACGCCCTGGCACTCGTACAAGGCACCCTCACACGTCCACCCGCACCTGTTGCACTTTTTGCGAGTATCCATCCAATAATTGTTTCGGTTGAGGACGAGGGACCTCCCGGGATGTAACAACGGGGCCAGCGTGGCAGGGAGATTCGCGCACTCGTCGTGCATAGATCTGTTTCCCGGGGTCGAGAAAATCGGGAGGGTGCAGGTGTCGCAAGCCCAGTCGCCCACAAAGTCGGGATCATGGTCGTTCTCCGGCTCCGGCTCTCGAAAGCTGTGCTGCTTATTGTATGTATAATCACTTGGCTTTTGCGCCATTTTATTTAAATAACTACCCTACTTTTTTTTTTCTCTATATATATAATTTTCTTCGACAATTCTTTGTTCGTTATATCAACATATATATAGGCACCAAAAAGTTAATTATGGTGTGGATAACAGTATAAAGAAAAGAATTTTAATTCCTGCAAGCAAATTAAATAAAGGAAAGTAATCATCTTTTCGTGATGCCTACCGTCTGGTGTAGTTCAAGTATCCCTTGGAGCATATATCTATTGTTGTCACATATATAATGCAAATGTCATACAGATGTGATGAGATAAATATTAATATTTGATTCTTCAATTCAACCTTTTTTTTTTCTCAAAATTTTATGTGAGGATGAATAAAATTGGTGCATTCTACTTTATCACCCAATGAGATCCACTATGAGCATGATAATTATGATAATTATACGTATGAATAAAAAAAAAAATTCTGGTTTTTATCTTTATGCAAAAACTAGTGAATGATATTTCTAATCCCTATACAAAAATTTACTATAGTTTATATGGGTGATGCTTTAGTACTTTCGGATTCTATTGATCAATATTGTAGACATTTATGTAGATTTTTTAGGGAAATTCTAGTGTGGTTTGAATTTTGGATATTGTGTCACAATAGAGTCTGAATTCTCAAGCTTTCTCAATTGAGGGTTTTAATCTTAGGTTATTCTCAACTAAAAATCTACTTTTACATTCAAGTACTCAATTTAAGATTTCAACTAACTTTGTATTGTGACATAATTATGTAAACCAAAATACTAGTAGAAAAAACACTTTTTACATCAGTTAAAACCCCTTTTCAAAACCGATGTGAAAACAAGCAATGTTAAAAGTCTGTCTTTTTTACATTAGTTTTAAATCGATGTGAAAAAAAAAAAATTCACATTGATTTTCACAACCACCGATGCCATAAAGGAAAAAATAGTTCTCAAAAATATGAAAAATCGATTTTATTTAAAACCTTTTTACATCGATTCCTTTAACGACTGATGTAAAGCAAGACATTTAACATCGATTTTCATAAAAACCGATGGAAAAAAGTTTTATGTACATCGGTCATTCATAAAACCGATGTAAATAAAGACTTGTAACATCGGTTTTCACAATAACCGATGTCGTATTACTCGAATTTACATCGGTTTCAAAATAACCGAGTGAACAATGCTTACAGTGACATCAGTTGTTATGAAAACTGACGTGAAAACTTTTTTGTCGAATTTGTCTGCTTACATTGGCTTTGGATTTTTACATTGGTTTTTTACATTAGCTTTTAAAAATCGATGAAAAATCAAGCATTTCACAACAATTTTATTTAACTATTACAATTTTTTTACCTGTAAACCTAAAAATCTATTACTATAAAATAATAACATTCATACATTCAAAATACTCCTACAAATCAACAGTATGTCACATGACAAGTACTAACAACCAAAACATTTCAACAAAGCCAAGTTATAACAATAGTTTTCATATGCACTACACCTAGTCATCAACCACAATTCGCCATAAAGTTCAAATTCTATAAAACGTAGGCAAACTAATAGCTCGACATAGCCAAACTGATAACTCTATTTTCCTATTGAAGTAACCTTAAGAAAGTACTTCGTCCACCGCATTTTTATTTTCTCAATGTCCTCGTCCTAATATGGCTCATCAATGCTCAAAGCCTACATGTTACAAACAAATATTATCATTATAACCTGTATGGAAGTGTGTGATTTCAAGTACAGCAAAAAGTTGATTTCAATAAAAACTTACCTTTTCTAACGAGTCGGTAATGTCTAGTGATGTAATCTCGAGCATATACCCCATCCACATGCTTTCTCTCCTGATTGTTTTCGACACTTGTATTATGAAAAATATAAAAACATCATTTATACTACATAAACTAAATCGATGCATAAAACCAACAAAGAAATAAAATACTATTCCAAAATCAAAACACTTAACATCATTCAACAAATTTACCTTAAGTTGATCTCACTTATTGGGCTTGTCTATAAAATGCACTGTAACATAATAAATATTCGTATTACTTGAAAGATAAAATAAGCCAAAATGTAAAAGATAATATATTTGAAATACATTCAGTAAAGAAAAGTTAACTACAAAATCGATTTAATTTATCAATTTAAAAACATACGTATTAATCTTGATTTTCAACTCTATCTTGGGATCTCTTCTCAACGAGCACAACAAAACCACTTCATTTTTTTTTGGGACAAAGCATCATCAACTGCCAATGTTCTCTGTCAATCCAAAATAAGAAGATAAAAGTATTTAATTGCTACACTTTTTAATTTATATGTATATATAATGTTAATCAAAATAAAATAAAGCAAAGATAAAGTGAATTTTATATATTATTATGTTCTTACTCGCTAATGTACGGTGCAAGGACACACCCGTAATTTCCTTCAGTGATTCTTGTTGCAATATACACTTGTATCTCTTTCTTACTATTCCCCCTTGTTTAAGTTTTGAGTGGGCACAAAACTCCGAACTTTTTTTCTTTCTCGGATTGAGATACCTATTGTAACTCATAATAAATAAATTTTAGAAGCAAATAAAATATATAATGTATATATAATACTAAACTATCAAAGATTATTGAATTAAGCATTTAAAATTGAAAATTATTACCCCTTCCACAACACCGCAGAGTCTACCCTCGCTATGTCTGCCATCTCCGTCCTGCCGTTGACGGCTGATGACAGCCACATCTCCAATTCGTGAATCGACAAGCTGCAGACGGCAGGGGACAACAATCTAAAATCCATGGAGCATGATGCAAACGATTAAATCCTACAACGGGGGGATGACAATCTGAATTTGGATACGGCGATCTGAATATCCCCAATTTAGGGTTAGGATTAAAAATTAATTTGGAAATTTTTGGGAAGAAGACAATGTCCACGTAAAAACCATGTCATCCAGAAGATTTAACCACGTAAGAGCCAAGCTGGACACACTTGCAAAAGTATCACCACCGATGGAATTTGAGTTCGGGTTGCAAAATGTAGGAAATATTATGCTTTGTTTGCTACTATTCAAAATTTCTAAAAAGTGTAAGGTGGTGATATTACTAGCAATTAGGCTAAAATATTATGTGCATAATTAATATGTATAGAAGCTTAAAAAAATTAGATAATATTATCGGTGATTGTTAAAGTACAAAAAAATATGGAAAGGAATCAAACTTTTGAACGTAGTTAGATAATTTCAACAACCAATAGCCCTTTTATTTTTGAAAAAGTTAAGCAATGGTTTTCCAAAATTTTTTATTTTTTATATGCTAAATAATTTAAACAATCCATATAAATTTGAATTCTTTCCAACTGTAAGAAGGTGTTGTAGTTAGGTAAACATGGACACTCAATTGAAAAAAATTTAAAAATTTCATCGATCATATAGGCAAGATTTTTCAAAAAAAAAAAAAATTAAATAAAATTACCAAGTGTAGAAACTTTAAAACTTTTAGGTAGGAATTTAACTTCTATTTTAGGTAAATGCTCCACCCTCTTATATATTAATAGATATCTTGTAAATTACGAATCATAGTAAATATCAGTAAATTTACTAATACTTATACAAACCCACTGCCAAGTCCCCAAATTTACCACTACTTTTACAACCCATTGCCCAGTCCTTGCTTAGACGCTATTGGTTGTGAGTTAAAACTTATTTTAATCGATCAAAATGGAATCATGAGTTAAAATGAGTTGTTTTGAATAAAGTTGATTGAATGGATGAGAGAGAGATTGAAATTAAATAATATTTAAAATATAATAATTAAAGTTGATTGTAAAAAATAGGAGAGAGATGATAAAAGTGAAATGTAGTTAAAAATATGTGAGTGAATGAATATCATGGTTCTGAAATCGAACTTGTTATCGAACCAGTAAAGCTACCAGTTCAAAGGTTCACTGGTCGAACCGGTTCAATGAATATACAATTTGTTATTTATTTTATATATATAATATATAATTATATATAATTTTATCATTAATTTTATAATATGACATTTCTATAAATAAGAGTTCAACAATAGATACAACCGACAGTGTTGAATAATATTGATATTTTTCTTTTAATTTTATTTTTATATTTGAAATTTTTATCTATATTTACGTTACAAAATAGAGAGAATAGAAACAACTCTATTTTAATTTATAAATCAGATTTTAAATTTTTATTATTAATTAGAAAAATAAAAAATAAAACTATGTGCATAACAAATAACAATAAATTGCTTCTTTTTTCTTTAATAAATTGAGAATAGATATAGCTCAACAAATAGCCCAATACAAAAAATAGTATATTTCTTTTAATGAGTACAATTTTGCTCGTAAGGCCCAATATTGGACCAATAAATTCACCAAGTGCATTTATTTGTGAACATATTACACATTGAAAACACAAGTAAAAAATGTGTGGTATTTAAATGACTTCACAATCAACTCTTCACAAGTTCAAAAGCTGTAACCGTTGAACCGTTCAAACCGGTTCGTTATTTTAACTGACTTTGGATCGGTTCGAACGGTTCCTGAGTGGTTCGCATGCCTGCCGATTTTGTGCTGCAAACCGGACTTGAATGAAGGACGATTTTTGGTCGAACCGGTCGGTCCGGTCCGATTTTTAAAACCATGGTGAATAGTGAATTAAAATAATGTGATGTAAGAGAGAGATGAGACGATATTATTGGAAATACTGCACCAAACCCCGCATCGCGCTATGCCCTAGCTTGTTGAGGAGCGCGTGTTATATGAAATGTGAGTGTTACTGCCCTGTGCTTTAAAAAATGAGTGACACCCCCTTTTATTTAATTAACCGATGCACACGCTTCATTTTTTCAATTTGTGCATTAACGGTGTTTTTTCATTATACCTTCCGAATATTATATATATTTATGGTGTATTGAATTTATCACAATATATTGAAAATATGACGAGAAATTGAATAAGAAAAATTTGTTGTCCCTGGGGTTCCCTGAGACCTCATGGGAGAATGAAAAGCAATGCAACCACCACACCAGTCAAGGTTGAGTGCTTGGACATTTTAACATTGAGAAATACCAACTATTTTTGTAATTTGACTAAAATCATATGACTATGAAATTAACCAGAAATACTATTGGGTTTCTCTCCTTAGTTGTATCCACTCAGAAATTTCTCTGAATTAGTGTTAATGATTTGCAATTCAAAACTGAATAATCCTCTCTATATACTAATTCAGAACGTGCTGAGACTAAGTAGCAGACTCGCATGCTTCGGGATCCTATATGGTAAAATTACATGCTTCGTTATTAAGCTTGGGTAGATTTTAATTTACCTTCAATCCAAAAATAATTAGGTTTAGATTATCCATAAATATGTTGATTATTTATGGTCATGTTACATGTATCAATTGCATTTTAATATCATTTCTTATTATAACCATTGAAATGGAAATGTATTTTAAAAGTTAATAACTTTTGTATTTTTTATCAGTTTTACATATATAATATATCAAATTAATCATCTCTTGATGAATTTCGATTTAACATCCATATTGTATGTATAGAAAAAATAATTTATAATTATCTTTATAACAATAATAAAATCATTTTTTAATAAAAATAAAATTATTTATCAATTAATATATTTATATTTCAAGTAGTTATATGATATAAGTTATAAAATTACTATAATATAACACATATTATTTATTACAAACCGGTATAACCGTAAATCCGGTATTTTGTGTGTAATTATACAGTACAAATGGCCGGTATCCGGTATTACCGGCCGTTACGGTACGGTATTTAAATCAATGCTTAATATCATAGCTTAGATCTTGCTTGTTTACAAATATACCAAAAAAGGTTACAATCTCGACTCAAAATCTAACTCAATTTTAACCCAATCTCACTATCCTCACTATTATTGATATAGTAATCCTTACACATCACATCAAAAAATTAACTATTCATCCACTAACATAATTTTAATTATCTATCACTTATAATAATAAAGTACAATTACACATATGAAAACCTGTATTTATTTTTTTTTTCATTTTTGGTTCATAATCACAATAAAAATCAATTTTAAACTTAATTATCATTCAAATCCATAAGGTAGCACATGACAGTTAAGAAAGTAAATTTCATTTGCACATAAAATATTAGATTTTAGTATTTTTTTTTTTTCAATATAAATGCTAAAATCTGATTTCATAAGGTAGCACAATTGAAGTTTTGTTGTAATTGATAGTAATTTAATACTATTAATATTCTAAATCAGTACCCTAGGTGTAGTAAAACTCATTTCACGATTTTCATAACTAATTAACAATCGGGCAATTGTAAATTTTTTTAATCCATCAACTAAAAATTGGATATGTAATAATCCTAAAATAAGCATAATTGAAGATACTGAAGCTCATATTGATAGTAATATGACAAAAATAAAATTCTAAAAAAAGTCCACTAAAGTTAGGAAAATAAATTTCATTTGCAAGAAAATATTAGTTTACGATTCTTCTCATATTGATAGTAATTTGACAAAAATAAAATTCTAAAAAAACACTTCACTATAGTTAGAAAAGTAAATTTCATTTGCAAAAAAAAATATTAGATTACGATTCTTATTTTTTCAATATAAATGCTAAAATCTGATTCCATAAGGTAGCACAATTTAAGTTTTTTTAAAACTATAATTGATAGTAATTTAACCTTATTAAAATTCAAAAATAGTACCCTAAGAAAGTAAAACTAATTTGCACGATTTTATTCCTAATTATAATCGGACAAGTTGAAATTTTTTATAATCTTACCAATAAAAAATTGGATACGTAATGTTAAAAGCATAAACTAAATCTCCAAAAATATTTGCATTGATCTAATTATCAAATGAAACATACATAAATTTCACTATAAATAGACCAATGCAAACAATGATTATTGCATTCAACAAACTCGATTTACGAAGCACATCTTAGAAATACAATCTTTAATTTTTAATTACTTAAAAATGACGCCACTATGGAAATTGATCAAAGATATCAGGAGGTCCAATAGGTCATTGCTCATTTAGAAGTTTTTTCACTTTGCGTGATGTAAACAACATCGATGAATCAATGTTGTTTGGTAAGTCCTGTAATCAATTTTATAGTAAACCTATTTATTATGTTTAAATTCTTTAATATGAATTCTATATTCAATATAATAATGCAATTTTATTATATTATATATTATTTTTAGATGTTATTGGCTTCTGCAAATGCCACTTTTATGTGTAGGGATAAAGAGTATGAACGGATGATTGCCAGTTGTGTGAGCTTCTAAAATGTTAATTTTATGCGTTAAAGGTGACTAATATTTAATTAAAAAAATATTAAATACTTAAACTTTTACGAAACTAAGAATGTTGTATATAGAGAAGTGTTTAATAATATATAATATTTTTTATACGTTGTATTTCTCTCTTTTTTTTCATTATAATCAAATGATTAATTTTTAAGAAAAAATATTTAAACTAAAGTTTAGAAAAAAATTTTGAAGAATAAATTTCACTATGCAGGGCACTGGTAGTACATTAGTATTACTTAACAAGTACGCACTAACACTTACCAATACCCTGGCTCAATCGCTATTCACCGCCCCCCTATTACTACTCACCGCCCC